GTGGGGTACTAACTGTGAACTCCTGACCTCAGTCTTAGCACTGCCTAACATCCAGATGACGTGTGAAATAAAAGCTTCTTCTCTTTAGCCTTCAGGATGGTGAACTCTAACCTCTGCTTCAGCCTTGTATCATTTATGAATGAATCAAGCACACAAATCATCATTTTCTTTAAAATGGGGGCATATTTACTTATTGCATTCCTTTTTAAACAGAAAAAAAATCTACGTCCCTCACTCAGGTTTCTTCAGATTTCAAACTCTGGAAATGAGGCACTTTTTTCTCTCGTCATATCTTTTTGATGGATTTCCACAGCCTACTGTCAATGATGCAAATGGGTTTTTTTTGTTGTTGTTGTTGTTTGTTCCTGCAAAAATTGCGTGTTTCAGTGCTGTTTGCATACGTGCTTTTCTTCTGCTGCTGTTACAACCCAATTTCCCTTTTCGGATAATTAAAGGGGTGCTCTATTCTATTCATATATATTTAAATATAGAGAAATAGCATTGTTTCATTTAGCCAAAGTCTCAAACTTTCCTTTTTTGTTTTTGCTACACTAGACAAGAAACTAATTTTACATTTTTCTGCCTTATCACCTAAAACAAAGCAGACAACAACACTCTGAGCTGACTCTGAACTTATCATCAAGGTTGCATGATGAGAGCCACTTCAGAGGTAACAATACTTCTTACTCTGACAACTTATTAAAGAAAGATTCATACAACATGCACAAAACTCAGCATGAGACACAGAGAACAGCCACCAAAATTTTACCCGTTATTTGAGGTCACTGAAGTTTGTTGTTAATAGTTTGGAAATCTAGCTTTCGGCAGTTACGACGTATTTTGTATGCCGTTTGAGCAACTGGTTTAAATTCTTTGAACAAACCAGATTTGGTTAAAACCCTCTCTAAGAACTGAAACGTTTCTCTGTCATTGGCTTTTATTTGAAAATGAAATTAGAATTACAACATTTTAATATGCTTGGATAAGACTTTAATAGTTTCATGAAATAGTTTAACAAACATTTGTAGAAATGCTCATTTAGGTTCGAGGGATGCATCTACATGTATTCTTGTGACGTTTGAAAGTGGATGAGTGCCTGAAACGCCTCCTACGCTTTTGACAGATGTTTCTCTCCAGTGTGGATTCGCTGATGACGCTGCAGATGTGATGACTGACTGAATCCCTTGTCACACTCGTCACAATAGTATTGCTTCTCTCCTATGTGGATACGCTTATGCCTCTTCAGATGTGATGACACACTGAAACCCTTTCCACACTGATTACAGGAGTGGGGCTTTTCTTCAGTGTGGGTATGCTGATGAACTTTCAGATCTGATGACTGACTGAAGCGCTTGTCACACTCATTGCAAGAGTAGGGTTTTTCCACAGTGTGGAAACGCTGATGACGCTTCAAATGTGATAAACTCCTGAACCTTTTCCCACACTGGTCAAAAAGGCAGAGTTTGCCTCCATGTTGGCTGGGAAGATCAAGCTGTTCTTTAAAAAAATCTACCTCAGCCTCCTCATGAAGTCTGTCTGGGATGTTCTGGTTTTAAAGAGAAAGAAGAAAGAGACAGAATAACAACAATCTAAAACATTGTCACGTCAGCTGAGGCAGACGGTGTGGAGATGAGAAAGTGTGGACACAAATGCAGGAATCAAGCTTTTATTTTGGGCTGCACAAAACACTACAAAACAAAGGGCGAAGGGAAATTGAGATAAACTAATAAAACCCTAAATTGGGGAACGCTTTGGTAGACATAATTAGTGTATGAATTCTAGAGTAACGGCTGATAAAGAAAGTGTTTGGCTTTAACTCTAATGTGTTCCTCCTTGGCAAATTTCATTCAAGTCTATTACTCTGTGTCACAGACTAGCATGTCTTCTTCAAGTGTCAGCAGGTTATTACATAAAAAAGTAATGGTTGGACTGCAAACAAAAGCCAGAAATGTAAAGTCAAAGAAAACAGAGCATGTCACAAAGCCTCAAATACGGATGTAAGCATATGTAGACGTAATCTCTGTGAGCTCAGCAGCCATTTTGGAATAAATTCAGGCAGTTATTTCACTACACTGCCCCCCCCCCCTCCCGAGGGGGAAACCTGTGACACAAAAATCACTAAACTCAGACCACCACACACTGTTTTCCTTCCTGGTGATGAAGGAAAACGTTGGGCTGGCATGTAGAAGGGCATTTATTCCCTTCAAGGACCTGAAGCTCCATAAAGCACCCCTCCAATAGCCAAACCCATCTGTGCTCTGATTGGATAGTTAAATTTGTGATTGACATGACATTGGCCAATCAGATGAAAGGAAGAAAAATAAGGTCAAAATTCGTACTTGTAACTTGAAAGTTGAGTGCAGAGTTTCACACGTATTTTTAGTCCACACACAAATCTTTTTTATGCACACACAAATTCTTTTTACTTATACAAATCCTGATTTACAAGTACAAAATATTTATGACCACAATTTGAGCCCATACGGATGAGCTTTCCAAAGTTCTACAAGTTGTGCCTCCATCACTTGTGTCCAGATCACACGTTGCACTGCCATGCTACTCGGTCTTTTTCACCAACATTTATGTGTTTGCGCGTGCACAGTTTGAGCACAGTCGTGAGGATTTCAAACGACCGTCGTGAGGGTTTCACCGCAGCCGCTCATTGCATTGTGGGTACGAGTGGCAATCAAAACACTGCATCAAGCGCTAGCATTTCCAGCACCGGTAATCATTAATTCTGCGGTTTTAATCCCTACTTGCATTTTATTTGCCCCAAAAACACTTATGCACAAAACGACAAGAACATGGCAGGTCCGTACAAAGACAGACTTGACGAAAAGGCAAAAAAAAAATACAAGTTAAAAATCAAAGGAGTGAAAGGGTTAGACCCATACGAGCATACAGAGTGGACTAAAGACGTTACCGTGCTGCCCAGCTTTCATCACGCACATATTTATAACTATATGGTACTAAGTGTGAGTGCATACACTCACAAAATGTTTAGTAACTTCAGATCCCTGCAACAAGCCCAGGTCCAGTTTACTTTGGTGATTTGGACTATTCCATTTCACAGCTGTTGTTACATTTTTTTTCTTTACCTCCTGTACAGGCCAACGCAATCTATTTGTCTATTCAGGTTGTAGTATTACACAACATTTTCAGATCAAATAGAAATAAAATAAGTGTTTCATAATTCATTCGATTTATTGTCTTTATTTATAAGTGGCATTATTGTTTCATTCTATTATAGAATCTTACAAGAAAGAGTTCCATCATGCTTTATTAGCTGCTTTGGTGAAAAACAAATTAACAATGCAACAACAACAACAACAAAAAACATTCCAAAACAACATACTGGAAAACAGTTATTCATCACTTGATTGCATCAATACAACACTTGGGCACATATATGTGGGACTTTTTGTGGCTGTTTTGATCTCGCTCTCCCTCTTAACCAATCAAATCTGGCTGTGGTAACAGCTTTAAACTTGGTATGACCCAGGTTGATAGAGGGTGCCCAGTCTGAATCGCATTCCAGCATTTTGTAGGCTGGTTTTCCTACAAAACACAACAAACATTAGCCCGCAAAGCCACAGTGAACAAAGCAGCATAGAGCAACGAATTCAATTCAAATCAATATAAGACTTATTTGTAACCTACATCAACAATTATGTTATGATAAATTACGTAATGACTACAACAGAGGACTTACATTTGTGGAAATGCTTGGAGCAGACTAACATGTGAGCTGGAGTGTGCTGGAACGTTATATTTGGTCTTCGAATGGCTGCAATCCAGGCCATCCGTCAGCTCTTTGTTACTTCGGAAACACGGCTTAAACAATTTCTCTTCCACGACGTAATCCGATAAAAACCGTTACGCGTCGGCTTCCCGTGGCTGTCATGCGACCGGCTATTACAGTTAATAATATAACAGCTTCTTGCCATTCTTTGTGTTTCTTTTTATCGCTGTGTGACTGTTTTCATGTGAAAGCCTGCGTGCGCCACTTCCGGTAAGGTCAAAAGGTCAAGGCTAGGGTCATCAGTCAAATTTTGACACGAGGTGGGTATCTTCTTTTTTTCCCAGGTAACCCCAGATAGATGTATTAATATAAAATAAAACACAACTTTGACCTTGCAGTGTTAATATGTGTGCACGCCATATAAACATTGGAAGGTGTAATGAAAAAAGAAATACATTTAATAAAGAAACAATATTGGACAATAAGTAGAATATATTTAAAGTAGTGACTGCAAAGTAAACGAAAGTGAATCAACTGGTGGTGAGGTGTGGAGCTTACCATGTGTGACTTGCCATCATAATAACATATATACACCTATACCAATTTCAAATTCCCAAACCTTTAATAAGATCTGAGTTTTTCACAGAAGTAATGAACACCAGCCTAGGATATATCGCAGTTTTGTTTTGTTTTTTATCCCCAAAAGTTTTGGAGTTGAGTTAAAGTGAATAAAAATGACTCCTCAAACATCAAGTACTTTGCAGGGCTGCACATGCAGTCATCTGCCCAGCTACAATAACAACAACAACCTCCATAAAACAAAGAAGGGATGCTGTGGCTGCTGAAAGCTGAAATATTCAACACCCATCCACACCTCTGACAGAGAGAGAGACAGCTGAGGACTTGAACTCCTTTTCTCTCTCCCACATCTCTCCTCCTGCTCTGCACCACATACTCACGCATGCCAGTGGGTTGCTAGGCAACTGTAAAATAAAGCAGTCGGCTCCGAAGTCAGAGAGAGAGAGAGAGAGAGACACGGAGAGATAGGAGAGAAACAGAGTTCACAAGTACTGCAATCCACTACTGTTTTCTTTGGCTGTGTACATGATCCCACCACAGCTCTCAGCACCCATCTGTAGATCTGCGAGGAGGACTTGTGACTTCTGGTTCTCCGACTGACGACCAATCAGGGTTGGCCAGGGGGCGGGCTCAGCAGTTCCCTGGGTTACCCGTGTGATTGACGTCCAGCCTCCTGCAGCGGAGCGCGCGGCAGTGTATCACTGATGCTCCTGCTTCCCCCCCCGGAGCCTGTGGAGAAATCTGGAAGAGAGGAGAGAAGGAGAGAAAACAGAGGAGCAAGAGAAATGCTAATTATCTGAAGTCCTTCACTCTTTCCCTCCTGCTCGCTTTGCTGGAAAGATGAAAGCTGGAGCTCTGGAAGAAGCCGGCTGACGGGAGAGGAAAGGAAGGATTCTTCAACAAGGGGGAGATTTGTTGGTAAGAGAAGCCGCATGCTACTTTTCTGTGTCTTGGCTTTAGTCAGTCACCTGTCCTTGCCAGCACTGTGAAATATGGGATAGCAGGTAAAGTGGAGGGGGGAGGTCTCTGGATTGTGTGCGCTTGAGGCAGATTTTCCTGCATCCTGCGTGGCTGTACAAGGCTGTTTGGTGTTACTGTATGAAACCTACATCACACATTAAGCCCGTTCTACAGTCTCAGGTATGCAAATGTTTTAGCTGAGTAAGAGCCGCTGGGTCCGGGTGAGGATATAGGAGGCAGGGTGATTCCAAAGATTCTGTATATGTGAGCTCTATCGGGAGTACAGTTACAGCTGAGGCCAGGAATTTAAGGCTTGTCTACTGTATCTGCATAGGAGGAGGAGTATTAATTACATAACACTTCATCTATACTCTTGTATCAGAGCTGTGCAGCACCATGCTGTCCCATCAGTCCAGAGAAACCTCACTGCTCCCTTCCTTTCTACTGTAACCTAGAAAGACACAAAGGCAGTTTCTAATGGGATAGGCTGATCTTCAAAGGACACTTACACCGAGTTATCCATGCCTCTTTATCTATATGTATGACTGCATCACCCTGTTTTCAGTTTAAAGCTTTGCTGTGCTTCAGCTGCGCTTCACTGCTGTGCGCAGGCGAATGTTTGATGCTCTCGATGCAATTTAAAGATCATAAAGAGAGACGGGTCATGCGCGAGGTCTGCATTGCTCTCAGCGCCTGGGGTCTGTGCCACCAGGACTTCCTAAAACCTCCATTAGGAACCTCGGGCCAGGCGACAGCTGGCTCTCCCCCCTTGCCCCCAGGACTCAGCTCTGCACCATCAGGGACTTGGCTTTCTGCTCGGCTGCTCTAACGTTGCGAGTCCTCTTCCCGACCACCTGAGGACACCTCAAAGGCTTGAATGCTGTTTTGGATCAGGTGTGAAAACTTTCAGCAGGAGGAAGTCTTTATTTATTTATTTTCTTACTCGTCTGCTTTGGGGGGCTTTTTTCCTGAAGTAAAATAACCAAAACCTTCAATTTAGATCCAAAAATGTTAAATATCTGGAGTTTTCTGCAAGGTATAATCGATGTTAATCAAAAACATGATTTTAACATACAAAACTCTGAATCTTGTTACAATTCAAATTACTCAGTTTTAACCTTTAATCATTTTTTTTTGCCTCTTAAATACTAAAAAAGTATTTATCATAATAATGCTGATATCTGCATGGTGAAATCAAAGTATTTCGTCTATGCTTTGGCATGTGAGTCACAAAGATACACATGCTAAAACATAGTTTTATCTAGTGGTATAGCACAATAAAAAGTCTTAACAATTTAAACAAATCTTACAGATGTACGTGATGAATAGTAGTGTTCCTGTTTAGTCCGTTGAACATGCTAGTTCTCACCTGCTCAAAGCACAGAAAGGCCTCAGCTAACCCATGTTAACTCTACAAATCCAAAATATTTGACTTCAATAAGAATTATACCGATAGCCTGCTGGGATGCTTCTCCTGAATGACGATATTTTCTGTGCCAACCATCTTGATGTGAGATGACTCACGCCACTCATAAACTCCATCTTGTCTCCTCGCTAATGTTGCAGCCTAACAGATTTTTAAAGGTTTGACGTAGGCAACCTTTAACGATACCCTTTACAGTTTGGACTTGATCGTTCTTACAAGACTGTAATCTGTTATCTTTGTGACTGCAGGTCTGATATTGGTTGGCTCGTTGAATTCAGATGCTTGTTGCAGATACAAATCTAAAGAATAAATCTACGGGACGGCAGCTCGTACGGAGGCTGCTTTCTGTGTGCCATCACTGAGGCCTAATCAGATATTCCATAGCATGAGAGCAGCTACAGTTGGAGGTGTTTGGGTCTCTAGAGCTACTGCCTGTCTGCCTGCCTGCGTAGGAGGAACCATCTCTTCTTCACAGCTCTGTCTACCGCAGATATAAAGCTTTGGGATTCGTTTTTGCTTTCTGCTTGTTTTTAGAGCACTGCAGGGAAAGATGACAGGGAGAAAAAGCGAGGGGATAGGGGAGACCGCGAGCCAAATTTCAGCCCACAAATTCACAAGCGCTGAGATATTCACCTTAACCCACAGATTCACTGGGATGTCCCTCAGCTGTGGAATTCTTCTAGCGAACTGTAAAATAACATCGGCATAGTCCTGCGATTGCAGCCTGAGGGCTAACCTCCGAATATCACCTGATCAGTGCTGACTGGTAAAAGCATGGCAGTCGTGTTTTAGCACGCCTGTTGGATAACAGGATGACTGTGTGTCAGTGACACTGCGTAAGTGGCAACAGGAGGTGCAAAACTCTAATTAATGTCAAACTCAATTGTTGAGAGCTAAAGAAAAAGCTTTTATATAAGAAAACAAGTCTGAACATTGAACCAGCTTTGCATTCATATCACATAGCTTGGATGATACTAACATGGATGTGTGAAAAGTCAGAGGAGGGGCAGTTTCTTGTGCAGCTCTTTACAACCTTGTAATATTTGGATTTAAAACAGTGGCTCTCTTCGACTTTCAGCTTTTGGCCTGTCCTCCTCCACTTACCCCGGACCAGTCGTACCAGATCACTGCCCGTCCCTGAGCCTGCTCTTCTGCAGGTTTCTTCCTGTTAAAACAGAGTTTTTCCTTCCCACCCTTGCCAAGTGCTTGCTCAAAGCGGGTCGTCTGATTGTAAGACTTTTCCTTCCACTATAAAGTGCCTTGAGGCAACTGTTATTGTGATTTGGTGCTATATAAGTAAAATTAGATGGAATTGATGGATTAATGCAGCCAATAAGATTAAATGTCAACTCAAACTGATTTTGGCTGAAGATGGAAAATTATAGTAGAATGTTGCGGCTTCCCTTCAGTATTTGTTCCATAGTTGCTACATTGGCATACATGCAACCTGCTTCATCTTCATCTTTTCTGCATCCAGGTTGTCAGCTCCGAGGTAAGGGAAAGTTTTCAGTTCTAGGAACGGGCATCCTTTTAACTCTGCACAAGTTATACTGCGTTTTCACTCTGTGAGCTCTATCTGCTTTGCGGCATATTTCCCTAAACAAACCACAAGTTCCTTTTTGCCTCCTCTCCTGCTGCCGAGCCTGAAGGTGCCATCTGACACACCATTTAATTCCCTTATTTATACAGCTGATATCATATGGGAGAGCGTTGATCTTTTGCTGCTATTGGCACCTTGTCCTTGTGAGGTTACACGTGAATTTGAATCAGGCAGCAGGACTTCAGGACTAGTGTACTTCTGCCAAACTTACTTTTCTCTAACTCAGGCTGCTTCACCGCTGATGCCGTGTTTTAAAGATGGATGTGTACCGCGACGTATTAATATTTTCCTCCAGTGGGTTAAAATGGAGGCTGTGCTCATTATTGCCATGGTGATTCATAGCATGTGAGCATCATGATGCCTTTCCTTTTAAAATTTCCCTTCACCATGCACACACACTCAACTGAACTTTTAGATAAACCATTTTCTGAGCCCATCAACTAAATGAAGTCAAACCTGCCTTCTAGAACCGGCCCTTGTTGTTACTGTATGTATTTATATCCAGATGATTATCCTGTCTGGTTTCAAGGTCACAGAGACTTTCTAAAGGCGATCTGGTCATGATGACACCCCTGTGGTCCAACCTCCGTTGTGGGATATTCTTTTTACATCCCACAGTCCGATGGCAATGTCAAAGCTGCGACAGCAGATGTTTGAAGCTTCAGCAGTATAACTGGTTATCTCAGGTTTACATTGTACTGCTCAGCTGTGTCCGTATTCTCTGAAGGTGTTTTTCCACATTTGAACAGCTGAACTGAACTGTGCGGTGTTTGATTTTATCTGTATTTCTCGGGGAAGATGTGTACTGTTGCTCATAAACCTGCTAATTAAGACTTCCAGGGAATGTGGGAAGGTTTGATGCAGATTGAAAGATTGGAAAGATTGTGGACTAGTTCTTCTAAGGTGTAGGGATCTGGGAGATGTAGGATATTCTGCCACTAAGATTTATTAGGTCTGGACACACAGACATGTTACCAAAGGAACTGCACTATGAAGGTTTCACTCCAATGGTGTTGCAGCAATACACTGTGCACAGGAGCAGGCCAGCAAACCCTTTTTTTCCTTTGTCTGATAAACATCAATTCGACAGATTCAGATTCTCTAAAGGAGGAACTGCAATTTGTAAACAACACAAACCTAAAACAGAGGCACCTAAACCTCATCCGGACACCTATCCAGGATGTTAATCTTCCTTACGGGCTTTTATCTGTTTTTATAGTCGTCTTTTAACTTCCCGTTTAATGCCACTTGGGTTGAAGCTGAAGGAATTTGCACATTCATATAGTCTCCGTTTTGGGCTGCCTTTTTACAGTTTTTTGTAATGAATGCAAGTAAGGTGTGAGCAAAGCAACAGTAGCAATATAAATAAGAATGCACCAGTGGCTGAGTTTATGAAATGTCAGAGCTGACCATCCAGCCTAAGCATGCAATATACAAGGGTGAGAGCTTTAAGGTGAGAGGTTTCAGGTTTGTACTAAAGGTAGTATCCAGTGTTTCTAAGCATTGTGGAGAGGGATGCATATAAATGAGATTACCTTAATCTAAAACTGACATTAAAGTGGAAGCCACAAGTCTCTTTCTTGCCAAGGAAAGCGGGGGACGTTTCTCCACCAGTTGCTTGAATATACAGTGAAAAAGAGAAAAAGGCATCAGTTATAATCCCTGAGTGTTTATATTCAGATACTAACTCAGTCTCAGAGCCCTGGAATGTAGCAGTTGTGTGGCTTGTAGTCTGTATTTTACTTCTAAATTCCATATATTTCTTTTTGTTTGTTTGTTTGTTATTTTTGGTGAGATGGGAGCACTAGAATTGCGCATGTTTCTGATCATCTGGTGCCAGCACCAAGCCTTTGGCATGAACGTGGCTGCAGCCACATTCTGATACCCCCCATCGTGTGACTGCTTAGAGAAACCGGATCATGGGAACATATT